AGACAGACAGACAGACAGACAGAGAAAGAAAGAGGGCGAGAGTAAGGATTTATTTTGAATTTTTATTTCCAATGCAGGAAACTTATGATAGTTTATGGTCTAATGGGTTTTCGACATTTGCCTGTGAATTTGGCAAATTAAATAATGAGCTGTGAACAGTTTCCTTTTATTTTTAAATGCATAGACTCGGCCTTTTCCCTCTCAGTTTTATATCCTCAGGATAAGATTGCTGCATCTGTCATTACAAACGAAAATACAACGTCTATTTGGCTGAAAGTCATTGGATTAGAGAGGTAAACACCTGGCGACATTAAATCCCTTCGCTTTTTTTTTTTCATTTGATTTTGTTACTTGTTATTGAGTTTATGATTAGATAGAATGCAGGACTTACCCTTATAATATCGAACAAAAAGTTTCCTGATCCCCCAGCATTGCCCCCAGTTCCTCCACTATTTCCGCCAAAACCGAAATTGAGAAACCTCTTGTTCCTGTTCTCGTCGTCGCTCACCTCGATCTCCTCCAGTGGTGCTAGTTCCGATTGTACCGCTTCGTTCGCCGATGTTCCTTGATCGTCGAATTGGACTCGCACTTCGTTGTTCTCCGAACCCGCTAGATCCCCATCTTGGTCGACTTGATTCGCTGCTTCTGGATTTACGTCCTACAGTCATCCATGTTACAAGTTTCAATGGAATAAAACAGACTTATTCGACCAATTATTATATTGAAAATAGTGTAAAATGCAATGAAATTGGACAATTCAAAATATCAATGGCATACACCATGAGTGGTTGATTGATATTTTTTTCCCCTACAATGTTAAATGATATAAAAGAGAATAAACGAGTAAAAAGGTGGTAAATCCGTTCATAGGACCTTGTGCGACACCAATTTCATAAATAAAAAGAAAAAACGCTTGATAATGATTGGGCCATAAAACAGAAAGATCAGTATGAATGAAGAAGAGAGTAACGTAGTGGAGAGAAATAATCGAAGTAGAGGAGACGACGAATGGCGGCATGGCAGAGGCACAGTCTTGTAAGCGTTTATGCCTTAAAAATTGTTTTGCAAACGTATTTGACCTGGAGGCGCTGCCTCATTGTCCTCCCTATGAGGTTTAGCCGTTGTGGAGGTTGTAACAGTTGTCTCATTATCGTCATCGGACGGATATGTTGGTAGTGATATCGATACCATTGCGCCACTCTTACCGTTACCCTCATCATCATCATCATCGTCATCATTGTCGAATGGCGATTTGACAGTTACTGTTGAGCCGTCGTCACTGCTTGTGCCCCTTTCGCCACCTCCTCCACCCCCATTTTGGCGACCTCCACCAAGTGCACCACGCAGTAACATCGGACCCAGTACTTTGATCACCTCACCCACAATCATGTTGACTTTGTTTTCAATCATCTATAAAATTTGTCAACGATTGTTTTCTTTCTCACTCCATGAAAATGCCAAGGAATTTTTCATGGTCTCACCGATTTTTTTTTTTTTTTGTATCAGCCGCGCTCGGTCACTGTCTATTACATTGTGTTCCAAGTGAAAAAGGATAAGAAAAGTCAGGGACCTTGTGGATTTTATTGGTAGGCTAATGAAATAAAACACTTTCCCCGATTTCTTTCGTTTGATATTTCAATTGGGTGATTGGTAAGGTCTGTATCCTGTACAGCGTATTTGACCGGTGAGGAGATTAAAATCAAACGGGACATTCTTAAAAAATATTATTACACGGAGAGGTAAATTGGTTGCATTAATGAATAAAGAAAAAACAGAACGACCAACAGTGTAGTTACGGATAGTAAATTCAATGCTTTGCAATTATGCATCAAGAGGGGATTTATTTATTCGACAATTCCTCGCATGAATTACTAATGAAACGAAAAAAAAAAAAAAACGGAAATTATCTTCACTTTAAAACAATGACTAATGATTTTTTTTTCTCTAACAAATCAAAAGAAATCGATAACCGCAAACTCCACAGTTGTCACGAGGCAATCAATTGCAAACCAACACTCTATGCATACCTCGCGAGGTTGCTGGAAAATTTGAAGCAGTACATTTCCCGGACACTTCTAATGACGCAATTCTACATGTAATGAAAATGTATAGCCAATAGCGCCGTTTTTATGTACCGGTGGCAAAGGCGAGGAGACGGAAATAAATCTAGGAAACCACATATTCCGCCATTCCTGCTGTTTCCCGTATGGTGATGCAAATCGCTTGTGGCTCGCGTGATCGCACTAAGAAAATAATAATTATACAGCACTATTCATTTGGCCAGTTGATACTGGAAGTAGTGAAACCAAGTGAGAGAATTAATGTTCGAAATAACTAATTGGAAAGAGTAATCAATTGATTGTATATTGCTCAGGATCGCGCAAACGTAAAAATTTTCTGAGATCGTGGAACAAATTATCGTCTGCAATAAAATCGACGAAGACTCCGCGATAAAACCGCGATACTACAAACGTCGCCCACTTTCACGCAGAGAACGCCGACCACGTGAGAATTGACGCGTGTCTCGAATGCAATGTTATTCATTTCCATATCGTTTTCAGGCCAATTGTTCGGTGCTTTTGTTTGATTTTCAATAGTTTCTGACCTGGGAGATGCCAGGGAAGAGCTGGCGAAGTATGCCGATCGTTCTTTTACTTCTTAGTGCGGCGTCGTTGTCGCCTTCGACCATAACTAACCGCTCCAGTGCCTGAAATTTTATTAGAAATTTATATATTCCCATTGGCTCATTTAATTTTGGAGAAATAAATTCCTCCAATACTTCTCCAGTAATTGATTACTCATGTTCTTTTCCTTCACCTTCCCCAAAGACTTTTTTTCTTCTCAACGAGACAAATTGTCTCTACCATTCTCTCATTTTTCAATAAAATTTTTATAACTTTGAGCTTTCATTGCATTCTTGAGACGAGAACTTTCAGGCAATCCGGGGGCAATGAACCAAAATAACGATAATGTCCTGAAGCTTAACCAGAAACTACGTGTCATTGCAGGGGATTTCTTATAGTTTCGTATGCTTCTCCACAAAACGGTCTTCCTCATGTAGAAATTTCAAAAATATTTATCATCAAATTTTATACAAAACATTTTATTCGTTTATTTCTTAGTAACGAAAGATCAATGAGTTTCACTTAAATTTTGGCATTAGTCAATATATCGGGTTGTATCATTGGAATTTTAAAGAATAATTCTCCAACATTATATTGCAAGCAAATAAAAACATGAGAAAAAAGAAAATTCGTTATTGTATCACAATGCAAAGAGAAGTGGCTCTTGCTTAATACGTACAGCATGAAGCATTGATCTAATGGTCCACTTTCCCCACAAAAGACACAGCATTCTGTTCGAATGAATGATCATGGATGACGGCACATTGTTACCCTTTGTTGGCACAAAAAATGATAAAATTGCTCGAATTTTCTGAAGTTAAAACTCACTATGAGAACATGAAGAAAAAATAAAAATAAAATAATTGAATTGACAAAAATCACGAGCAAATGGATATAAATTGATTTTTAAAATCATCATTTTTCCATTCAGCCTATCACTATTCATTTTGATTTCTATCAATTATTATTTAAATAGTAAATGGAACTGTGAAAAAAAAACATGGGTATTTGAATATTCCTATTTTAGATACTCAAAAGTTCTACGCACTTTCCATCTTGCTATCGATCGAGCGAAGAAAGTGTCCAGTTGGCGAGTTAGTCAGACAATCTTGAAGCAAGTGAAAGTAATCCGAATGAGCGTGTGGACTGCAGTAAACATGTGTGTGTTACCCACGACATCGGAATGGCTCATGTAACTCATGGGACAGTGGAATAATAAAAAATATTAATATTTACGCATTGATAGGCCTCGAGCGTCCTTCGGCATGTCTTTTTTATTTAACTAACAGGGTCGATATTCACACTTAGCAGGTAATTTCCTTCCTCATTCTATAATTAAAGCGCTCGTTGAGTAATAATAGATGGGACATGGCGCAATCTTTAGATGCATCTCATTCACTATTATTAATGCTTCCATTCGACAATTATTTTTCAACCTTTTATACGTCGTTTGATATTTTCATGAATGCTCTCGTCCCATTTTCGACTATTTTTCGCAACTCGAACTATCTTGACTGATTGAAATAATTTTTTTGGACTGTTTGCCGCATAATGAAGCCATAGAGAATTTTTTGAAAAATCATTCAATCAAGAAAATAAAGATTCAACACAGGAAGGGAAAATATCTCGATAGAGGGAGACAAGACGCTGAGATAATCCGCCAGCTCTCAGCGAAAACGTGAAAAGCTGACTCGTGGTCGGATACTACTGTTACTTTCCACTCGAGAGTGGAATGCCTAGTTTTGCACTTCGCCAATATTTTATTTTTTATTTTTTTTTTGTTTTCCATTCAATCAGAGTTAATATAAGTGGCAACAGAATTTATATTCAATTTAACACAAGCTCATTATTCAAAGTCTATATTCAATGTTATTGAGTATAGAGAAAATTAGTGAACAATTTCTCAAATATTTTTTTCGTATTTAAATGAAACCTCGAAGACAAACCTCAATGCTAACTAGTCCAATAAAAAATAAATTAATAAAAAATTTGTTTAAGACATCACGTTTGCCTGTGAAAAAATCGATAATGCCCATGATTACACTCATCATCATCATAATTAATTAAACTCATAAACAAGGTCTTCCATAATGACTCCCTTTCATTGAGATCAAGGATGATCATAACCAATCGATATTCACTTTTTTATTCCACAAAACAAGGTTTATTGTATCCATTACACTGATAACAAACCCGCATTAAGTTACCGCAAACACATGGAAAAAAAAGTCACCTGAGATTGAAGTCCATCGGCTTCAGGAACTGGAATGGAGCTGACTAGAGCAATGAGGCATGCGGCCACCAGGATTATCACTGTGAATTTCATCGCGTCTCTTGCACTTCAGACCGTAATTATTCTGAAAAAAAAAAAAAAAACACAATCCAAAACCGATGAAAAATAGCTACCATGGAAGCTCATAAATTGGACATTCGATTGTCTATTTTTCCTGTACCTTTAAGATCATTTTTATCCTCAATGTCGTAAAAGTGAGGGGCAACGGAAGCAATTTGAAAGGACTTTGAATCTGAAAAGATTGGCCGGCGTGAAAGAAAAAGGTGTTCACCTTTCTCGAGCACGAAATACACCAACAGACTCACTTTCGTTCAAGAAGAATCGAAAGTTGTGGGGCAAAAGTATTGCGCATTGTATAGTATTATAATGAAAAAACAAAGTATACAAAACAAATGGTGAATATCAATGAAATCCATACGTTCGGCAATAACGAAAGTAGAATTTATAAGATTATCTCGACATTAAAAATAGTGTAGGTTGTAGTGAGGTATGGGGTAGAATTTAGGCCTTTTAGACGCAAGCCAAGTCACGGATGTTCGTATACGTGAATGGTGATGTTAATGATTTCGAATGAAAAAATGCTGTTGACGAGGAAGGACGTGTGAGAGCAAAGGGGATAATGGGAGGATTCAATGCACAGGTGGAACGTGAAACAAGCCGAGGGCACATGGGCTGACGCATTCAACCTGACGGTCAACTCCAATCACTTTGGCCAACTCAATTCGAAGGCCAACCAATTTTCGGATTGATGAAATAAATCCCAAGCATTACTCACATTATAAATAGTTGTTATTATCATATGACTTAATTGACTTAATTATTTGTGAAAAATCCACTAAATCTTGAATTATTATTCAAAAGACATTATCGCTGATTGAAACTTGACGGGCTCTTATCACTTCACACTCTTACTTAAAATTTTACTATAAATTATTGAATAATTATTTAAGAATTGGAAAAATTCAATGATTGCGAATTTTGGCAGATTGTTTATGGAATTATGATGGAAGCTTTTGGAAATGGGCATAAACAGTCAACTCACCACACACGTAAATCCGTTATCAATGAACTTAAACTCAGACTCGAAATAAAATATTGGGAGCTCGCGGGACTCCAGCTCTGCCTGGCTATCTGTGACTGTCTGTGTGTGGCGACGTACAGTGAGCGGCTTTTATTACCAGGAGAGACTTATCCCAGCCACCTCCACGCTACACCTGAGATATGTTGTAGCCTCGCCATCAATACCGGCTAAATGGGGGAAGAGGAAGAGCACTTTTAACCATCTCAATTGATTTCCCTCAACTTCAACCTCAAGACTCATCTCCTCATCACATTACATCTATATTAATCATACAGGACAAGCAGACAAATAGAGCTTACTCCGAGCTTTTTTTCATACTCTTCGAGCATTTTACTCATCTCTATAAGTCTTTCGAATAATAAATATCGCAATAATGACCAAAATTATCATTTACAATCCTCCATTTTAGCTATCATACGATAGATCATATGATCGTGAAACCTCTGCAATCAGTAGTATTGCAATAAAATTGGCCAACTAGTGGAAAATTCCAGTCTTGCTAAATAAAAAATTGTTTTAGAGGCCGCAGGGTGAAGTCAATGATCCGATTAACGGGGAAAACGTGAAATTTACTGTTTCATGTTTTTTTTTTTTTAATTTGGGTATGGATCAAGGCCGCCCTTCTTTATATTTAAAAAAATACATACCATTGATATTCAGACGTTCATATCATAATGCTATCATATTCAACTGGAGGTGCTACAATTGGATCTCTGCCCGCTGAAAACAACCTCCTTGAAGTTGATAATGTTTTACTAAACGGTGAGAAAGTTTCATAGGAGAATTTGCCAGGTTAAATATATACCGTTTTGGTTGAATGCCAATTTATTACTTATCCTCCCATTGCCATTCCAATGATTTCCGATTTATAAGACTTTTAACCGCCACCATTCCCCCAAATTTTACTTTTAACTAACTGGACTTGACAGAAATCAATTGCCGATATTTTGAAAAGGAATATTCTGAAAACTCTAGAGATTGTCCCATGAATGTCGTTGACCTTGTGATAAAATAATTATTCAAATAAAGCATCTATTGCTAACGACTAGACTGACAGGCAAATAGAATAAAAAATGATCTCTTTTAAGAAGCTTGTGGCTTTCATAAAGAGGATATTGTGTTTTCTGTTAAGGCCCGGTTGGATTGTCTGGCAAAGATAATTTACTCCAAAATTGGCACACCTAATTACTCCATCAATTAATCGATTTTTCCGATAATTGTTAGCTAGCGCTCTAATTGTTGACAACCGCTACGGCGCTAGCTAACAATTATTGGAAAAAACTATTAATTTCCGGAGTAACTAGGAGTCCAAATTTCGGAGTAAATAATCTTTCCCAAATAATCCATTCGGGCCTTAAGACCCTTCCCGATCACGATCCATCAAATCGATGTTACCGACAAACTCAACAATTTCTTTAGCCGTGGTTTTATTCCGTATTCGCTAGACGGAGACACTGAGTTCCGTACAATCCCTCACCTCTTATTTACAATAATGAATAATAAAAAAAAAATTCAATTTGAAACCAAATAAATCCTGAAATCTCAAATGAAAGAATTAAAACCGAGAGGCCGAGCCATAATTACTAGATTTATGTGTTTGTCAACCCTTTGATCCAGAAAATGAGACAATAAAAAAAAGTATAAAAAAAAAGTGAAGGTATCATCGCACAAGCGAGGTCTCCTCGTTTCAATTCGATGAGCGTTTCATGATACGCCGTCGCTTGGCATATCGTCATTGACCAATTGTCTGATTTAATGTTTATCTACACAAGCCAAACCAAGAAGACAAGACAAATATATTAAAGCAAAATTTCTCCCTTTGAGGATTTTATAATCATTTCACACGCCAAATATACGTGTACATACTGGTTGATTCATAAATTCGATTTTTAAAAATCTTTTCTCTATAAAATTAATCATGAAACTGGCAAACCTCTAAGAATCGATTAACATCAGGTAATAGCAGCAGACAGATTGTTCAGACTCAGGAAATGGCATCGCTAATCAAAGATCCCCGGCAATTTCCACGAGCATGAAAAGTGTCCTTACATTGTTTTCCCTATTCACCTCAATGAGTAGGCCAAGATCCCACGATAATATCAAGAAAATACCAGACAGACAAATTATTCCCTGCGTACAATTATTTCTGGGACAAAACCACAGAAAATCAACATGACAGCTCGACAGTTTAATCCAATCATATTCAATCAAAGAAACTGCAAATCACGAGCGGAATAATGAATCACCGATCGCTAATCCCAATAGCAAAATCATCGAAAAAAACGATAAATAGAGAGCACGTCAAAATGGTGAATGTCATAACGAATTAATCCGATAAATCGGAGCACATTAAAATAATCCGAGGAAAGTTGAAGGAAGAGAAAAAACGTAACAACGGAAACCCGACAAAGAGTGTACGCGCTCATGCATACTATTGATTGATAGGAAGCAGCAAGGACCTCATTATCTTCACCGACTGTAATCCAGGAGGCATATAAAGCCTCCGGGCTTCCTAGTTGTCAAAGAGACGTTGTCAACATCGCCAAGTTACTCGTACTATTCATACTAAGAATGTCTCGATTAAAATACAGGAGCTTTATGCTCCTCTTCATAGTGATATGGGTGAATGCGATTGTTTCGGTCCCTATACCTTTACCGGTGAACAGTGCTTACAATCAGACAAGTCAGACCAAGGAAGTCAAAACGCGTCCAAAGTTTGTCGAGATCAAATTACCGATCAAGCTTGCGTCAATGGACGAATTGTTTGCATGGGTGAAGAATACCATGCACAATATGGCATCGAAGATCGATATAAAACTTGGTGGTGATAGATCGGAGAATGGAGATGGCAATAAGAGTGCAAAGAATGCGGAAAATGTCGAGATAAAAGAACAGTCTGCAGCTTCTCGGAATGCAGTTGTTGGATACGAAGATATGGACTCTTGGTCGGAGACTGGCAATGAAATGTTTGCGCCCCTGCTCAATGCCGAGGCTTTTCTCCCGTTGTTTTTCGGTAATAATGCCAATAAATTACGGGGAAATGAATATTCCAGATATGCTTACAATGCAATTGGCGATTCAGAAGTATCAAAAAACAAAAAAATGATCAAGCTGAATTCTGGAGGTACCATCGCCCAGAGTATCTTGTCTTCCAGTGAGCAAAATAACTCGGATGCTGTAGAGTTGCCAACCGAACGCCCTCCATCGTCCATGCTTCTCAATGGGAGTAAAATTTCTCTACCTAGTCCAGTGCCATTTTCTATCCCTTTTGAAGCATACATCACTATCACGAGAGAACCACATGAATTCGTATCAAAAATCCAGGCGAATACTACTGCAACGGGCTCAAATAATTCACCAAATATATCTCCGCTAGTGTTTTCTTCTCCAGTACATGTGCCGCGACAGATTACCAGTGATTGCAATCATTCACGAGACCTCGTGATCAGAGATCATTTTCAGAGCAATCAATCTGGCAATTTCAAGGAAAGGCCTTGTAAAGAGAAGTCTCATGATCCTGAGGAGAAGAAGGAGAGATTGGAGGCTCCTAAGCGGAAAAATAATAGCAGAACCAGGTGGGTAACCCCACACTATGTTCCATCGATAATCAAGTGATTTTCAAGTAGAATAGATAATTATATAATGGAGCAATGTTTTCAAATGGTAAAAAATGCTTTTTGATAATTGCAATACACAGGGATAACTCACGCAAGCGCCAACTATCTACCCTGGGCGACATCCTAAAATCCCTGGGTCTCATTAGAAAGCCAAATAAAGGCTCTAAATTGCAAGAATCTGCGACAACATCTTCAGCAATCAGAAAGAACAAAAGACCACCCGATGATCCCACCCGACCTACTTTCCTCTTCGATGATGTAAGTAATAAAAATAAAAAATTCATATTCATGCTGCTGATGGCAATATTCATAAGCCCATCACTGCACTAACATTTGTGTCCTGTCATCAGGCGATTTTTTTTTAATCTCTCCTTGTACTGGTGTATCATTGATCTGTTACCCAAGCCGGATCAAGTGAGAAAGCTCTCACAGGGACAAATAGAAAACTCGTACACATGGTTTACGCAACAGTCTGTTGAATCGATTCACTCACCTGTACGCAATGGAATTATGTTGACGCGATTACAATCATCAAGAGTGATAAATTTTGCATGAATTTTTTCCTATTCCAAGATTCTTGAAATATTGTCTTTTTTTCTGAACTTTTTTTTCTGATGGAATTGCCACAGCGACCTACTAGAAATGAGAGCTCTCAGAGGCAGGAGTTTGATGACAGTGATGAGGAGGAAAAGGTAATTTTCATAATTATAACATCTTTATGATTTACTAACTTACTTTTCGCTCGTTTGAAAGAACACAATTACTTATGTAGGGAGGATCACTTGGATCAGTAGCAGATCTTGTACCCCTAGCCCTGCCCATTCTCGAAGGATTGAGTGACGTAAGTATGGAAAAACAATGGCAATCAGCATGGCATAAAAATTATGAATAAACATTTCCTCCAGCCCGAATCAGAGGACGATATAATCGAAGTCATCGAGGCGGCAGTTCCTATTCTTCAGGGTCTATCAGAGGTAAATCATAAAGGCTAAAAAAGAAAAAAAAAAAAAAGTTGAAGAAAGATTGATGTAGGGATGATTATTCCAGGGAGATGGTGATGATGAGGGTGGCGGTGTGAACGATCTGATTGGAATGATTGTTCCACTGATAATAAGAATAATTAATGTAAGCAAATTTGTAAAAAATCATTGACTACTCGTGACTTATACGATTAGAATTATTTATTCATATTGGATTGAACTGATACTCCAGGGAAGAGACGGTCAAGGCATTGACCTTGCAGCGCTATTCGGACCGATATTCAATCTCCTGGCTCCATTCATCGGGCCAGTTTTGGCCCCCATAATAGGCCCATTAATCCGCACAATTAGCAATGTGAGTTAACACATCATGCAACATGTTCTCAATACTATCACAAATGAAAAATTATTAGTTGAATAATTATTCAATGTAATTGCATCACGTGTTTTAGCCACCAACCGATGGTTCATCTCTCGGTGCATTAATCACAGCTATTGCAGGGCCCCTTAGCGCGGTAATTAATCACATTTTTGTAGTGACTAAACTCTGTTATTTGCATTTCCATTCGTACAATTTCGAAACACAAGTTGCATTAGCAATAAAGCTTGCAAAATTTTATTATGACCATCGAGATAGGCAGTGAAAGTGGACATGCGAATATTTACTTTTTCTTGATGAATGAAACTGCTGATTTTTTATACTTGCGTATTATTTAGCCTCAGGAGCCCAGTGGGATGTCACCACTATCGATTGTTATTGCAGGTACTACGGCTGCATTGTTGAGAGTGAGTTAGCATATTACAAAGCATATCGTTCGGACAAATTAAGTAATGCAGTTGAACGTTATTGTACGTTATTGAACATTTATTTGGTAGGAATTGAAACCAGGAACTCCTGGAGGATCAGACGTAGGAGCATTGGTTGGTTCGATTTTGTCAGGGGTTTTAGCTGGAACGAGTGCAGGTCTCAGTGGGGGATCATCTGGGGCTTCTGGTGGCGGAGGAGCTGCTCGTTATGGAGTAAGAATTTGTTCAGATTATTATAACTACAATGCTCTGAATATCACTGAAAAACTAAAAAATAATTATGTCAATAGTCAAAATTATCAATAAATAAAATACACCAATGAAATGGGCCAATAAAATCGTCAATGCCAATTATCTATGATTAAACCCTCGAATGTCTGGGAATTTAGACGCCAGTGACATCATCAACAATAAATGTAGGGTTCCCTGGCAGGCCAGCAGCAAATCCGCTCCACAGTTCATTCAGCGTGAGTGCTTTCACTAGTATTTTCAACAATAGCTAAAAGTCGAGCTTGAGTCAGAAGGTAATGATTATAAAAGTGGATAAATATGTGATGCATTCATGTGAATTAGAATGGACCGAGCCATGCTGAAAGTACTGTGCATATCGGATCTACAGTGAGGCCGACTTATCTATATCCCCATCATCAGACGATAGTGGCGTCCGTGGCAACGCCGACGAGACTGCCATCACCACGTCCTTCCATCGTGCACCATAATTCGGTGAGTTTCTGCAGGGAGCTATCGTACTTAGCATCTCTCAGCTAAACTCCAAACTTTGTTTATTACTTCAGGGACCACTTGCAGCGGCCACAGCACAAGATAGTTATCTTCCTACGGGAGCTGTGAGTACAATTAATTACAATAAAAATCTTTTATAATATAAAAAAATTTATTTATTATTTTATGTCTTTCCAATATCAATATTCCATTGTCAATTGATTGGATCGGATCGACAGGCTGTCTCTGCAGCGTCAGTCAATCCCCTCGCTCTCCTCGGCAATTCCGTAAAGGACATTCTTGGGGCGGGAATCCAAGTAGTTTCGTCCCTTATAAATGCTGTATTTGGGATTCTGGGGGCTTCATCGTCAGAAGAGCCAGCACCTACTTACGGCGCACCATCAGGCTATGGCCATGCTTCCGGATAACACGAGTCTCGGTGAAAATCTCATAATGGATCCACAATGACCACTTTATGGAGCCTGAAAAATCATAATGAACATCTTCTTTCTTATGTTCTTATCTGCGTGGATAAAATAATTCGGCAATTATTAAAAAATTTGACAATTGAATAAAGTCTAGTCTATTATAGTGTTGTCCATCCACTTTCTCATGAATAATATTACCTCTCGAGTCAATGTCTCTTCATGTTTCGCCCGTTGACACTTAACTTATTTTATTTTTCTTATTTTTCATTGTTCTATTTGCATAATCCCCCAGTATTCAGCTTTTGTTTTACCTTATTTTTCGTTTGATCATCTCACGCGTTTACTCCTGTGGTGATGAATAATCGAGCACAGAAAGATTTTTTCTCCCGTTAGAAATCAAAAGCTTCATTTATGAATAAACTTTTAATGAACCTAAAATATTTTTTTCCTCCATGTATGTCAGTGTATTTCAAGTTGTTCTTCCTTTCGCCAATACATTATGTGGTAATATACTTCAGGGATCGCTCGAGGTCATTGACACTCGATTAATATCACAAGTAGAATTTTTCTCCCTCCACCGTGTACACTCAACTTGTCCCGTTGATTGCGTTATTATACTTTGTAACAACTGGACCAGTAAGCAACAGAGGGTACACCTTGGACCGCTAGAAAATCAGCATAATGCACAGCACAAAAAATAGTCATTTTGCTTTTCCACCTTTTTGCACCCACTAAAAATTATTTAATGCTCGTGTCAGTAATATCGGTGAAAAATTATGGGTTATTTTGAAAGGCCCAACATTTCCTCATTCACATATGCTTCCCCATTAATTTTCTCATCGATCGATCAAATTGCATAATCCTCTCCCAATGACTTTCTACTGTGTTTAATCATCAACCTCTCCCCAAACAAAGGCCAAACTGCTGTATCAAGGAGAAATCATCCTCATCCTCAGAGAAATGTGAACGATGAGAAAGAGAAAGAGAATAATAAAAATTATCTCGTAACAATGGACCAACTGTTGCAGTCCCCTCCCGGATAAATGATACTTCTGGGAGAGAGTAGAGAGATTTATTTGGATTAACCATGGGATGCGAGCCCCACAGGTCTCAAAGTTACGTAAAATTCCATGAATCTTATGTAGTCCCAGTTCCTCCAAATCCAGGATGATGATTTTTATTATGTATGTGAAAGTGTGACCTAATCGATGGATTGAAAAAAAAAAAAACACTCTCATTCTGCTAATCCAAATATTTTCAACGATTTTTTATTTCTGACTTGCTTATCCAATTTTACGATTTAGCATGCAACTGCATCGATCTATCCACCTGCCAATCAAATTCACGTTATGCATTTGAGTAATATGAGAATATATTCCCACTCTAATTGAACTCATTAGCGAGCTCCCTATTATTTTGTAATTACAACACGATACGCGTGGTGTGGGTCATGTACGACCCAATCGAATTTTCTCAGTGACAACTTTCTTTCTTTCTACTGTGAGGTAACGGAATGAAGCCTCACATAGTCGTAACTGCAGCAACGTCGATCTGGTTGGGCATATTCCATTGAACCGGTATCATTGACGGAACATTGACTTTGAATCGCAGAGACAAATCGGACTTTCCATTTTCCGCCCATTGATTATATAAAAATGAGCCACCCACTTGTGCAACGTAATCTTCGCCTTCCAATGCGCAATTGATCTAACTTATTTCTGGTGGGTAAGGCGGCAGTGATGAAGCCATTGAATTTTGTCTTTGAACCCTCCAGTGTTAATGAGAAGTGTCTGGAATTTTTGCTCAGTGAAAAACAACCGGAGAGGGTTCTTTCACTTCACTACGTGAGAGCTTTTTTTCAGCTTGACCTGGAAAGTTATCAGGCGAGTTATTATTAATAAATATATCATATATAACTTCTTATTAGACCTACTATTTTCCATATGAATTTTCGAATTAGTATTAATATAAAAATTCAGGTATATAAATTCATAGTCAAAATGTAATTTAACATGGAATCACAGGGAAATATTTATCTTTTGCCTCATAACTTTTCTCCAATTCATGTAAACATCATCAAAATAAAAATTTCGTCACCGAGTTACATGAGTGGTGACGTAATTTTTATTCACGTTTTTTCACCTATCTATTCATTTATGTTGAATACAAACAACGAGTCCATCTGATTTTTGAATGCATTTTTTGTGGAAAAAAAAAAAAATTTATTTATGTATTAAAAAATATCATACTTCTTTGCGAATAGCATTAAGTTATTCCAGCGGAGTTTTGTGAATCAGTGGCAAGAAACTGTAAATGGTTTTTATTTTTTTTTTTGGAAATAAGTTGCACAATGTATTACCTAAATGTCGAATTGAATGTAACTGGGGTAGTCCTTGATCCTTTCCCGACATTTTAATCCGTGAGCAGCATTAAACTCGATTAAAAAGCTATCATACGGATGCGGGTATTATTGGAATGTGCGTTGGACTTGCAAAGTGTGGTAAACAAAAAAAATGTGTATAAAGCCAGTTATTGCACAATAATCCCATGCAACAGATTCATACAAATAATCGTGAGCCATCTTAAATAATGGCCGATTACTCAAATCACTGGAAAATCACAATTATGTGAAACCTATATTGTGAAAGAAACGTGGAATGAAAAAAAGAATAAAGAAATAAGGTCAATTTATCGCCGAGTTCCATTCGTAATTCATACTCATTTGATACAAATTATGTAATGAATCGTAAGAGTGCATGATAAACTACCTTAACATCTATTAACCGTGCTGGTGATCCTGAACTTTGGAGGACTACCCGACGGGAGGAGAAATGAAGAAAAAACAAGAATCCATTATTCCGTTTTTTTCAATTCCTTCCCTACAATAATTCTCTATACATTTATGACTTTAAATTTATAACTTTATTAAGAGTTTAACTCAAGTCATCCATCATCAAGTGGTGATAAAATTTCATTTTCATGAAATATAATCAAAGAGTTATTTATACTTTTTTCAAATGAAAATCATGTTTGCCAAAATTGTGAGGAGATGAAAAAATGGCACGATTAGAAAACCTTAGACCACTGATATATTTTTTTTTCTTTAAATGAAAAACCAAACCTTCAATCCTGTATACGAAGCTGAAGCTCCCCTACCCTGATCCCCGAGGGCACTCTTAAAGGCTTACCATTTCCAGCTGCTTCCACTTACCTCCGACAACTCATCAGGTACAATCACCAATTAACAATTCACTTAGAATCCTTCTTCGTCTCCTCTATCGTCACCACGACCGACAAGTATCTTGCGAAAAAAGTCCCTTCGCCCTCGCGTTAAATATAAAAATTTATCTAGCAAATGCTAGCAAAGATTTGGTATTTGAAATTGCAGAAAAGCGATTGAGGTGCGTGTGCGAGGTGCTCCTTCCCCAATCACTTGGTGGGTTTTTCAAGATACCATCGGGTTCTCCACACCAGTCTGCCACAAACGAGTCTCGCACCTCAACAGGCACGCATCGAACTCTCCTCGACTTTCAACATTACCGACACTCAAGTGACACTCAAATTTCAGTAAGTGATTGATTATTATCGATTATGAAACACCATAAAAACTATATTCGTCAATGAATCTTCACCAACGTCATCACTTAATCCGTTGGTATCAATCATCAGGCCTTGTTACTCCTATGAATCTGATAAATTTAAACAATTTTCAACAGAAAATTTTTTGAAGACTAATATCAAAATTACAATGAAGTTGTCCCTGGTGCTATACGTTCTCGTACTCCTGGGATTCGTTAGATGCAGTCCAATCGTCAAGAGGGATACCAACGAAATAAGCCCAATAAATGAGGTAAGCTCATAATTAATTGTTAATTCATTTATTAATCATGTCTCGAATAGAAGATTCTAATTTATGTTAAATTATATTTTCAATTTCTTTGATTACCAAGAGGAACCCGCGAGTGTATCCGAGTCAAGAGTGAAAGTACCCGGGCTGCATTGAGCTCCAATCCTTTCAGACTCGACGAGCCACGTTTCTCGTCTCCGGATGAAATTTTTTTACATCTCCACGTTATTACAAACAATGATAACGAAATAAACGAGTGACACTTGCAATGACAGCGGTCAAACCGTTAGATTTCCAGTTAATTTTTATTAAAATTAGAGTATAAAAAATGTAACGGATCATTACTAATTGATTTCCAAAAAAATTGCCAATCGTAGGAAATTGTTCCCGATAAATTGTGTGTGAAGTTGAAAAAAGGATGCTGGAAATTGCGCAAAAAATGTTAAAAATTGTTTGGCCGAGGCCCTCGAGCCATCCCAACGATTTATCACTCGAATAGAGAGGGATTAAAAATAGTGAATGGCTATTATTCGTGTCAAGGCAGTTGTCCTTTATGAATGGAATACATCGAATAAAAAGTGAAAGAGGAGTATATGTAAATCAACATTTTGTTTATTTGGGATTTTCAAACTATTAACGCGATTTGCGTTTCACCTGCGTCATTGGTGCTCTCATAAATTATTTCCGACGTGTTCACAGGGATTGACGTCATTTGGGTTCCATTGGTATTTCATCAGTGCATTTTCAACTAATATAACAATATTTTTGTGGCAATTTTGAATTTAAAAATATTGAATCAGTTATTTTTGATAAATTCAATAAAAAAATTTCACAGGTTTTTGTGCTTGAGGAGCAAGGTGATACTGCCAATGAGGAACACGGAGACCGGGAGAAACGAAAAATCGGTATAGTCAAGTTGGGAGTAACCAATGGAATTATTGGTTTTGTATTCGGAGTGAGTGTATTGGAATTTCTATAATATAAAATTCAAGGAAACTGAAAAGTCTAGCAGCGATTTGGTATTTCTTTGCGATGAAAATGAGGAATATATTTTGAAAATTTGAATGATTGTTAAAGATTCAACTGACTCGCTGATAAGTCATAAAAAGTATAACTTGATTCAATAGCTTTGGACTTGCTAAGCAATCATATTATTGCTTATTACCAAGCACAGCGCGGTCAAACTGAGCCAATATGTCGCAGCATGTTGAATTTTTCTTTGAAAGTTTTTTATCTCTTTGAATCCATTCTATAAATATTCAACAATTACTTTCAGAAACTTGACTCCTTCCTTGACGCTAAGACGAAAGCTCTCTCGGTGCTGGACGAGTCGAATAAAGCCAAAAATGCAATTTATGGAATTGATAATACTCAGTCGGCAACAAGTGCTTTCGTCAGCGATATCTTTGGAAAGAAGATTCAGGCAGCTAGTGCTGGCATCGGGCCATTAATCAACAGTGCTACTACTTTAGTTTCTTCAGCTGCCCAGGGTCTTGTGGGAGCTGTGGCACAGAAGGTTGCACCACTTAGTTCAATTGTTGGTGGTCTTTCAGGAGGTATTCACTTGTTCAATTTCAATTCATTCATTATATAGTGGCTGATAGATGGCTCGTCTATGTCAACCTTTAAATAAAAAATAAAAAAAACACTCTTTTTAATGTAATAATAATAATTTTATACTCAGGTTCATCAGGAGGATCAGGTGGCGAAGGTGGCGGTTCAGCTGGAGGTGCGCTAAGTATTTTGACGAGCTTGAGCGGCAGTAGTGGAAGTCTGAGTGGTGGAGCTGGCAATAACGATGATGATATAAAGTCAAGTGGTGGTGCGGGTGCAGGAATAAATCTCGGGGCGTTCGCCAATGTGGGTGGCGGCGGTGGGGTAGGATATTGAGAATACCTCGAAAATGGATATTGAAAATCAGGCTTAATAAGTCGTTAATGAGCTCCTCCCTCTTAATCAAAGTTTATTATTTTCTATTGCAGAGAAATTAATTTGATAGGCTCTGGATGTAGATGATCCAAAATGTAGATATCCCTGTAGAGTTGAGATTGTAATAACTAGATTGACTCTAAACTCTTTAGTTTTTCATGTAGAATTAACTTGGTTGACCGGTGAAATGAGAAAATAATGAATGTGAATTAATGAATTATTGGCTCGTTTCATCAAAGAAGAGTAGATAAGTAGATATACTAATTGAACAAATCTTCGGCACTTGATATTAGTAATGAATTCGTCGAAGCACGAGGTGTCTCTAACGCCTTATAAATGGGTGATTAGTGATAGAAATGCGCTTTGGAGCCGCCTCGGGCTTAACGTAGAGCTCGAGAAGAGGATAGCAGGGGAGAACAACTCCCTCTAAATTGTTATATTTTATTTCCAGCCCTGAAAATTCATTCCATCTACTGAGTGAAGGCGTGCATCTAACTCGAAAAATAACCCTTGCTCAATTGTCTTTATACTCCCTCCACAGAGGTATTAAATTCCCACTTGAACTGCAATTACTATTGCACCTTTATTGTACCCCCGATGTACTCGGATTCACTTTATTCCTGTATTTGAAGCTTACCTGCACTTCTGATGGGCTCACCATTTCACTGTGTATATGATGTAAATAGGTTTTTTATGCACAACCAACTAGATATACCTATTGCAATTTTTTTTTCATGATGATTACTGTGGTGTTTTATAATGAAAAATGTTTCGATGAATGTGTTGAATAAATTATAGGCGACTCCGGCGAGTCCGAAATAAATATCAAATTGTTTCGACATTTATTGTTCATTGACATTCAATGTAAAAGAGAAATCCTCTCCCTGAATCCTTCAAGGCCTTGCACTAGTATAATAATAAGTCTAGTAGCAATTGCATCAATTGTTGAAATAATTCTCAAAATATAAAATATTTTATTTCATCATTGCACTTTTTCGTCTCCATTCGTGGGGAGGAGTTCACGTCATAATTTACATTTAAGGTACGGACCATTTAAATTGGACTTTTTAGTGAATTATTCAATTTCCTAGATACACACCACTACTGAGGAGGATATCCCTGAGTTTGACAGGAATAAAGTCTCGCTGGATGTACCACCACAGGCCTTTGGTACTGGATTCACTGTTATTACGAATCTCAGCAGAGCTGTTGGAAAATTTATCCAAGTGAGTAAATCTAATCCTTTCGTATGGTCGACATGAAAAATTGATTTTTCATATTAAATTACTTCATTTGAGTTTTAGAACTCTGCAAAGCGGACAGAGCGACTGTTTGAAGCTTTTAAGCCACTCTTCAGAGGCGGGTTTGCGATAAAAGGTCTCCCATCGGACAGGACGTGATGAAAATATAACACAAAACACTGAATTAAATAATCAGAATTCTGTTAAACGTTTTTATCCTTATGGATTACGTGGGACTACACATCCATAAAAGACAAAGACGCAGGCAGAGATCATATAAGTTAATTAAAACATTCCAAATAATCAGATTAAGGAATCGATCTGGTGCCATAGGGATTTGTCCTCTATTGCTCATTTAAAGTACCTCTTCTTGTTGTTAATAATTTTTATTTATTTCTTTCGAGAGGGAATATTTTATTGAAACGAATAAACTCAATTGATTGAATAAAACATGAACACATATTCTTTACTCTATCTATTTTATTCTATTGTGATAAATCAACGCAACATTTCAATATTTTACAAATAAATTACAAAAAAAAAAAAAAAAAATGAATAAATCAAAGAATAATCACGATTAAACCATAAATAAATGCAATGATGAATAATAGCGCCGCCATCTGTGCATTCTCGAGTCGAGTGATGCATGCTTGGAAGAAAGCTGTCCATGGAAAATCGAAGCAGTAGTAAGACCGAGGGTGAATCGAGTGTGTGCAGAGATGGAGCGGGAAATTACCTAAATAAGAAAACATTCAAATTGTAACAAGGTACCAGTAAAAATTGCCAAATGCCTGTCACCTGTCAGTCACATAACTTACTCCATTAATTTTTACTTTTCACCGTCTTATTAATCCGATATATGTCACATAATTTTTTTATCACTTTTCTTCCTCGACTTTTTTTTCATCTCAAGGACGAAGAGATCGTACAGCTGAGGTGGAGAAACCGATTGGTGGGTCAATATCGTTTGGAGCCATTTTGTAAAAAAAAATCATTTCGAGGAGGAAAAAATGCCTCCGACCTTGAGGGCCATCACGATAGCCAGAGTTTGTGTCGACTCATCCTCGTAGTATCAGCCCAACTGCCTTTCATGATGCACTTGAACCCTATCGTGTTGTATAGTAATTTGTTTTGATGAAATTTCAATAATTGGTAATTGGAATTTTTCATTTCAAATCAGTAAAAATATTAACTATTCTTCTCACTCCCCGAATCACGATTCGAAGAAAATCATCTCCAAGGTGTTTATCCTATGATTCAGGTAAGAATTGAAAATTGACCGGTCAACTTAATTGAGTAATAACTTTATATTTATCTTTATATTTTCTTGGGCTTTCATTGCTTTATCGCGAGGAAGTGATTTCCGATTAAAATCGAAAGCCAAAATAATCGAAAATTTAACAGAGTGAGACAGCCCGACTTACCAGTCATTTAACTAGCATTGCATAACAGATATGCTCTTACGACTTCTTTACTGAGTAAACGAATTTTACGGCCCCAGAGGATTACCCGCTGTGGCATTCAACTTCGTCACGTACGGTTTCCAATTTTATGAGAAAAAAATTCTCTCAACATAATTTCTCCGTTATTCAAAAATAATACATCCACCATTTACTCATTGTCCAATATTCAAAATCTACGAATTTCACTTGTGATGTTGCTATTTAGTCCCAACATTCATTCTTCTGATGAATTACTCTTGTCACAGAATTTATGCAAATTTTTGACGAAAAAGCCACTGTTATACCATCGCTTTCATAATCATTACCACGACTCGACAGTTGGTATATTGAGGTGAAAAGCATTATGTAAATTCTAGAATGTTTTAGGATATTGAACTCATGGGACTATTTCACCACCGGGATTCACATCCTAGAAATTTGGACGATGTTTTTATTAATACAACAACCAACGATTATTCTAGATATTTTCATCATAACAATGATTAATTTTTACATTTTTAATTCCATGAGGTGAAAAGAAAGCTGTTATTCTATTCGATTATTCCGACATTGGACTAAAATCCATACAGACCACTATTAAATTATTCGAGACTATCTGGAACAGAGTTGAAAAAAAAAAAATGTCACACGGAGATTCAATATTACATGTTGAACTAAATGCATGCAGGATGCCAGTGAAGAGCCTAGACTCCAATAGTCTATTGCGAAAACTATTACAAGGATGTCCAGGGTTCATGCCTCACAATCTTATGTCGTATTTTTATCCGCACAAACAAAAAAAAATACATAAATAACAAACAACTCTCGATTAGTAATCAGACTGTTATTACTAGTTTTGATATTCACCAGGCGAAATCATTCTTTACTCCTGTCACTTGCACAATCCTGTATAGTTCGCGTGGCTCGAAAGACATTTTCGTAAGTGAAACAATTAACCGAATAATAACCGAATAATTACTAAGATCATGAGAGAGCTCTTAACATTTGCAATTTGTTTCACTTCTCGATTATTAACAACACTAGCAGTTGGCATAAATAAAAAAATACGCCAAAAGAGCCGTGAAATGTACTTCCTTAGTGCACGCAATGTCGTAATAAGTCTGAGATTGAAGTTGGTCTCCTTACGTGCTCGTAATCGCTGTAATCGATGGAAATCTCGGTCGCGGAAATGTCGCGGAAATTGCGCATAGAAAGTCGACAAATATAGGGAGAGACACTAACAAGCTAACAGAAGCTGTGACTGGCATATGGTCACCAAACGTGCTGGTATAATCGACGTTATCGCATGGAAAATTTCATTAACTGTGAAATGAGAGACGTCCACTCATTTTTCTCCCATATTGCTGGGAAACATACTTAAAACATGTGTTTGATAGATAAAAAGGAAAATATTTGTTTTTCGAAATACCTTACGATTTGAAAAATTAATGAGTCCCTAATTATATAATATTTTTCGGTCTCCCCACCAAAAAATTCGACGAATCGATTAATTCAAGTTACGTCGCCTTGACGCAATCACGTATTCTTTCATAATCCGGGCCGAAATATAGTCTGAGGGTCGCGCAGAAAATCGATCTGCTCATTGTCAGTAGTACAAGAATTCACGTAGGATAGCAATCCCCCGAGTAATTTTCCATTTTTTTTTCCCCCGAGCCGTGGAGAATTTTTTTTTATTTTGCCATGATTGTTCATCATTCCTCGACACAATAGGAGGTATTAAACCGACAGTTTAAACTCGTAATTCCGTTGTTTTCCTCCGAAGAAATTGTCAATACCTGTTCCAGAAGTGCTTCCTGAAAATCACGGGTATGGAGAGGCTGTTTGTCATCGTCTGTGCACTTGGAGTTATCTCCGTTGGATCAGAAAAGAGTGAACAGTCTGTTGATCTGAAGGATTACAATCAGAATTACATTAATTGGCATTATGTGCAGCGCGAGAAGGACAACCGGATTGATGAACTTCCAGTAAATAGGTATAACCCGATTTTTAATTATTGATCAATTATCAATGATTAAATTATTTGGATTAATGAAAACCTTTCTCCAAATAACGAAAATTTTTCAAATTGATGCATTTATTATTATTAATTACAAATATTTCAAATATTTCGGTCAGCGCTTGATTGTTTCTATGTAGTAGAGCAATTTTCATGAATTTCCATGAATAATTAACAAATCCATGGGAGTTTTTCCATGAATAGATTTTGTTTTATCTTTCATCTGATTTTGCAATTTTCCAACTGAAATAAAATAAATAAAACAAATGAAAATTATTTCAAGGGCTTATGATCGTCAAACCGAGCAAGAAGCTGAATACGAAATTTACAGGCTGTTATCCAATACAGGAGGCCCAGTGGATATGGTAAAATTGAACGCCCTGGGTGATCGTTTGATATCCCAAGCGGACGTGACAGAGGAAGCCCGGAGAGTAGTGAGGCAGGTGAAGAAGCAGCAGCCTGGCTTTTTCTGGAGCCTCTTTCGGATCGCCTTTGAGGTAATAAGAGGTGCAGTCAGAATAATGTTGACGTTCTCCTTTAATCCGTTATTTCATTGCAGAGTGTCGGTGACACAGTATCCACTGTACAGGAGATCATTAAAGTTATCAATAAGGCTATCAATCCACCGCCGACGACAACGGTAAAGGCCCCTTCATCTGTTGGATCTACAAATAAAACTACCACGAGCAGTCCACCACCATTCATGCTCACTGCAGAGGGCATCGCCACAACCATTAGGAGAAATCTTAAAGGGCTCATAAGACTTTTTAATATTGAGTGGAAAGACGCTATCGATGTGAGTGCAATTATTCCGTCTAAAATAATTATCTTATACGCGAATATGGAAGAAAATCAATTCTACTTCACAATCAATTATGACACTGATTGTTTTTTTGTAGGGCTCAAAAGTCAGCATTCATGAACTCAAGAAGGACTTGGGGAAGAGTATAGCCTCATCCCTTACAGACAATCCCAACGCTTACTAATCACAATAACAAAAAACTATTTTCCTTGCACGATAAATTCTGTTAATGTTCAGCAATATAAATATGCAATTTGTATATAATTATGTGAATTATCCATGTCATTATGTATAACATCAATTGTAATTTGAAGGAGAATGAGATGAATACATATTATGGTATTGCGTATTTTTATATATGAATTTGGAACATTTAAATTTTGTGTAAGCACTGACAACCTCCATTCGCCGATGCGCCCACTCGATTTTTATCATAAATATTATATTTTATGTCGAAATTAATACGAATACAACCAGAGGAGAAAGCAACAACATTACGATTGGCCACTTTTGACATTTGGCGATCTCGACGAGTTTGCAAATATATAGCAAGAGGAACGAGAGCCCTACTCGTTAAATTCTCAGTGCTTGTCGAATGGAAGACATCAACACTCTTTTCTTTAAACAAATTTTAATAGATATTTAAATTTTCCATGGTAGGCTTAGTGCCATAATATGACCTCAATCACTCTGGGATTTTTTCTTATTTGCGTTGTTTGTGGAATAACTGGTCAACAGGTGAGTCCTCAATGGTAGTCCTCCCAATGGTAGAAAAAAAAAATGCATATCGCATGGTTCGACTAAAATCCAACAGATTCCCGTGCAAACTCTCCACGCAGTTGACAATCGCATAAAAGCCCAGTACCCCTCCGAGTCCAGATACCCTGATCAGAATACCAAAAGAGATTTCAAACGTGAGAAGCTCATGAAAATCCGAGAATTGGAAACACAACGTAGTAGGGTATGTTTCCGTCAATACTATCCACCATAAATTCCTGCAAATGTGAATTTACAAACTGAAGAATTATTATTCACAGCGACAACTCGAAGAAAAAAAGAGAATCCATGAAGTGAACAGGTTAAAACATCAGATGTCTGATTCAGCTCAGCCGGCTGAAGCCAGAAGGCACCACTCAGTTTATAATCCTCTCACCTGGACCGATATCTTCGTGGATGTTTTAATAGGACATGGGAGGCCTGGAGGTTTTCACAGAGTTCATCGTCGTTCGAAAAAAAAGAAGATGAAGAAAATGCCCCACAATGGAAACTTTCAATTTCATAATCAACCACATGTGAGCCATTTTGGAAATCCTGGCTGGTATTCCGTAAGTCATGGAGGTAAAGAATAGCATAATTATGCAAAAAAAAAAAAACTGGAAAAAACTCAAATTACCGCTAAATAAGTTGTAATTTCTTTTGAAGGGAATCTCCATCCCTACGAAATAATCAAAAACTTTGCCGACATGGCCCCACAACCGGACTTATTTTCCTGGTTCAAGCCATCTCAAGGATTCCCTCCAATCCAAAATAAAATTGCACCTGGATTCCATGACAGCGCACGATAAAAATTCCAAGAAAAAATAATGACAAACATGGTCGACTTCAGAGCAAGAAATGGAAGCGTCATCAGCAGAAAAATATCAACAGAGTAGCAATGATTTGCAGAGTGATTTTTCATATAGTATATCGATTAGCAAGGCAATTAGTTCAAGCTATTTCGCAGAAACGCATCATTACAATTGCACATAAGCGATTAATTACGATAGATATTATCATTTGTCAATCGTCATATTTTATGATTTTTTTTTCATGTGAAATTACGATTTTTATGACGAAATAAAGAAAGATTTCCAATGGTAATTACTAAAACATCAATGACACCCTAGTTGAATGCTAAATTTGAACATTATTCCATCATGTTTCCTCATAAATCTCCACCACCAACGCAGATCAAAGCAAAAAAATCCGATTATTTTTCTTTGTCTCATATGTTTTTGTTCAGCCGTATAATTTCCATTGGACTCCCCCCAAGCGGAAACAGGTTCCCTTCTCCTCGCGGTGGAAAGTATTCTCTTCACAAGAAACGCGACTTGGACGCAATCGCACTCGACGTCAAGTCATTCTTTAGTCAGTTTCATTATAAAGATGATCAAGAATAGTTGCCTCATACTAATCATGATATCGATATCAGCGAGTTTATCGGCGGGTCAACCAGTACCGGAGGATTCCGAGGAACTGGATCAGAATAAGGATGAGAAAAGCCTCTTTAACGTAAGTTTCTTTTTCACTAGTCATTACGACAAACGGTTATTTTTTGTCAGTTTCATGTTCGTTATTACACCATTTCCGTTTGGAATTACTAGGGTTTCATTATCTTCTAAATGCATAGTGAAGAAAAATTATTGTGAATTGAGAATGATTAATTACAATAATCTATAAATGAAAAAAAGAATACAATGAAAAAGGGCTATATGAGTGATGGAATTCCGAGAATACGTTTTTACTATTCTACTCTTAAATTCCAGTTACCCTTTCTCCAGTTTAAGAATGGGGGAGTGAGAGTAAATTTCGCGGGATATCACGCAGAAGCCGGGTTAGGGGGGCTGCTAGGAGGTTCTGGAACTAGGGGAGGGCTTTATGCAGGTGTTGGCACACCGTTTGGACCTCATGCCTCTGCTGAACTCGGGGGAGCACTGGGGGGCGACAAAGCAGGTACAAGTATGGGTAGTGATAAATTATTCAGCAAGAAATTATATTGTTAAATTGAGAGAAGCAATCTAATGGGAGCATCATTTCATTGTGTTTTGCCAGCGGGTGGATTGAGGACTCGTGCGGGCTTAGGAAACGGTCTACCCGAGGCAGCAGCTGGACTGGGGGGTAATTTAGATGGATCAAACGTTGGTGGCAATGGTGGTCGGCTCTATGCCGGGGCAAGCAATGGTTTGAACACTCGAATCATAACAAAAGACATTGGTATACCTCCCATTGATCAGTCCAATATACAAGTGATTCCAAAGAAGGTAGGTTCAGAGATCACAGTCTAATGTGTCAATTAAAACACGTAAGCTTAACCGTATGGTTAATTGCTGTATTTTTCCTTTCAATTTAATAGGCTACTATAAGTCAGACAGCCACAGCTTCTGGGGAGGGCACACCTGAAGTGGGAGTCATCCGGCGAGAAATTAATACTGAGGATGAGAGAGCTAACGCGGTGGAACCTATTTCAGTAGCTGGTAGTGGCTGATTTTTTGCCATTTACAAGGATGTTTTTATCAAGTCGTAACTTATGTACTCTGCAATTATCAATTCATAATCTCGATTAATGCATCAATCTATTTGTCAAGATTTATTTGCATATCCCTGCAGTGAATTTCTCATTGAATAATATTTTTTTAATTTATTATTAATGTGTAGTTGTCAATGACGCACCTCATTATGCATATCCCTCGAGGCGGTGCCGCAGGAAGAGACTCTGTACCAATTTTGCCATGAAAACGCTGAGCCAACAACAATATTCAGGTAATGTACTCAACCCGGATTTAGGTCTTGAGAGACCTGTTCCAGGACTCGTTGCAGGTATAGTTGAGAGAAGTGCAGGCTCCGATATATCTGCTGGAGCCTCTACTGGAGTTTCTACTGATGCCACTAGTTACAAAGGTGTTGCCATGGCCCCGGCCGGCACACCAATATTATCACCACCAGGGAAGCGCACTCTTTTTGACGACATATTCAATGTAAGTATACTCAACCCGCCGATATACTCACCAAAACATTTCCACTCCTGTGACCTATAGGTCAAAGCGGTTGTTCTATAAAAAAAAATGTAGTAGTGTGGATAATTTACTTTGCTCTCCGAAAAGTCATTGATCAACCTCCCTCCCCACCTCCAATTCATGGTCATTTTTTTTTTCTTTCCCAGATTCCTATTGCAACTTTGACAGCAGTAAACCAGTTGCTGAATAGCAAATTGGGCTGATTCAGTATTAATAATAATAATAAAGACACAAAAAATTGAGTATCAATCATGGTTAATAAGCTTTGCTAATGGCAGGACCATATAATATATTCTTAATTCCGAGGTATGATGAGGGAGACAAAAAATGTTTTTTCTTGTATTTTAGTATTTTATAAATGTAGTTGTTAACGTTGGCCCAATGATTGTATTAAGATAGAAAAATAAATGATGATGATTGGGAAGGCGTGTATTTTTTCATGTAATTTAAAACGCAAGATTCCAGCGACGGTACTAGTTCTATAATGGTTAATTGAAAAGGGTCATGATCTTGTGGTGGAGGCTTTGGTAGAGATGAATTGCACGGAGATATATCCGTTCAAAGCGTTAACATATCCATGAGATGAAAGTTGAATTTTTGAATGCCAAAGGTGTGGAGTAAATAATCGCCTGAATATTTTGAACTTGCTCGGGGAAACACGTTGAAAGAGAAAGTGTACACCAAACATGTCGTAAGATTCCGACGCTCTGATGGGGCTCACTAGAAAGAGTCAGTCTGTATCAGTCTCTCACAGAGTAAACTCTTTTGTTTTCAATAAAGACGTCTACTTAATCACGTGTAAAATAAAGAATTGGTTCAGCTTGAATTTTGAAAAAAAAAAACAAAGGGATCAATAAAAAATGACAGTCAAATTGTTTTTGGCCATCTTTGCGGTGATTTTAACTGGGTGTGGGGTGTCGCCAAGGCCGATAAATGGACCAATCAATGAGCCGATAAAAATTTCACTAGACAAGCCTGAAGAATTTTTGGACAATAACATCATACGAACTGCATCGGGCTGGGAACGTAGTATGGTAATGAATAATCACGAATTATCACAATGATTCTTCAATTCCTATTGAGGTTAATCACTTTGGATGAACCGAAATTGAAAAAACAATGAAAAATGGTAAAGATTCAAGTGGTTCGTGGAATTATCGGTTGTAGGACCTATTAGGCCAAATTGTGGATGCACTAAGAATCGGCAGAGGGAGATTAGTGAATTTTGCAATGATGACTAGAAATATCATTGCTGAGAAGGCCGAGGTAAAAGTATTTTAACATTTCAAAAATCAAAATATCTTCCAACTACATACTCGACAACTCGATATTAAAAATACCGCTTCATAGTCGCTTAGGATAGTGTCGCAATGCATCGATATCTCTCTCGAGAAAAAAAAAATTACTCATGTCGAGGTGATCAACAATCCCAGCACTGATAAACCATTAATTGCAAGCCACCGACAAGTCATTGTAGATCGATATATCCAGCATAAGTGACCGTTGGAGATGCTTAACAAATTTCATAACAAATGGTCTAGCCGTTTAGCATAGAGGGGTACTTGTGAAATCCGTTGCTCTTTCCACATCCCTCAATTTTATTATCTTCTATTACAATGACTTTTAGGAATTTACGAGTGAGGCTTCGAATAAAGTGATTGCAGTTATAGCGGCTAGAGAAGCCAAGAAAATCATTGAAGACGTTGAGGCCAAAAAATCCTTTGGTGTGTCAAAAAAAAAGGGGTCTATTCAAGGGGAAAAATTGGAATTGAAGACGTCTGGGAATGATGAACCACAAAAGACTGTCAAAAGGAGTACAATCGAGTCACATAGTGGTTCTCCAGTGAAAACCAGTCCAATCTCCGACTTTTTCCCTCCGAAAACTCGAGAGAACGCTCGTCTCGAGAACGAAGGCGGTCAATCCCTCTTCGAATTACCCAAGAAAACATCGATTCAGAAGTTGCTGCTGTCGATGTTTACGCCCACACCTCTGCTGGACCGAACGACCGAGGAGGAGAAGTACGGAAACTCTGGGGAGAGATTCAATGATGTTGGAAGAGCTCTCGTCAACGGCTTCGAAGCCCTCAGCAATTTTATAAATACTGTTGTCGACGTAAGTTCATCTTACTTCACACTCCACACCATAAATAAAAGTTGAAAAAAAATTACAATTACAAACAATTGATAAAATCATTACATATTCTTCAACTAATATAAATATCAAGAAATGCGAATACAATTAATGTTTATGCATGCATGATTCTTCAACGAATTATTATCCAACTTTTTTTCGCTGCGTATATGATCTCACATGAAATAATACATATATATCCGTGTAAAATATCATTTGCTTGTATATTTTTAATTACAGCTGCCCGTTAACGCAGCGAAAAAAACGTCGAGGGGTCTCACTGCTGCGCTCAATCAAGTTGGAGGAAAGTTGATTGGTTTAGAATAGGCAATATACAATGCCATTGTAGCGAATAAGAGATTCAGTAATAAATACATTTATGGTTTGTGTTCTAAATAATTTGGCTCATTCATTCTTGTGTATACTCAGTGAGCTCAATTATCATTTGAAGCTGGGATTTGAAAAGGAATTATGACAATTTTCTACTGGCCAAAAGAAAAATGTATCGTGTCGTTGACTCTCCTCCACAAAACCTGGAATTTCTACAAAATGACGAGGGGGAGTCGGTAAAGAGTATTTGGTCAAATAGAGTCTTGAGTAGGTTTCAATAGAATAGAAACGAAGAACCCTCAAGTTGCTGTTTCTTCGGTGACGGCGGTCTCGTGGATCCCGTACGCGGGGATCCACGCGCGTTCCTAGGTTGTGGCAGTGTCGTAGCTCTTGTAAGAGTGGGAGGCCTTCTTGTGCCTGACTGTGCAGAAAAGTATCATACTGGCAACGAGGCCGAATAACTGGAGAAACGCTACGATGAGCCCTACAGTCCCAACAACATGGAGCCTCGTGACAAATCCCATTTGGATGGCAGAGGCGCAGCCATCCTTATACCACAACTCTTTCCTGTGCCCGTCAGGATCTGGCCTACCGCAGTATCTCTCCCGAGTTATACAGCAAGAGTCCGGCACCCTATCATCATTCGGCCAGGCCGATATTTGAAACCAATCTGTGTAGTCTCTCACACCACAGCAATGGAACTATAAATATTTATGTTCATTGAAGGTGTGCATTTGAAAATTGACAAATTACCAATTCCATTACCCTCTGCTGAATGTCATCCCAAATAGTAGCCAATGTTCCAGGCTCCCTTGTGATATTATAGTGCTCTTGGATTCCAGACAAAAGCTCATTCTTCAGACTCCTTGACACTTGCTCTCGGAATACGAAGGCGAGGGCGCCAAACATGAACTCTCCGAGGAACATAATCACTACAAAACTGAAATACTAAAGAGTTCCATACTTATTTTCCAAGGTAAAGAAGAAGAATTATCGATCTCCCAATTATCTCCAAAATATTCATATACAAACCAATATGAGCATGAATCTCAGCTGAAACCATGCCCCACAACATCCAAGGAAGGCAATAACAAACATGACACACCCCGCAGCAAGTAGAATAGACTCGGCCGAAATGAAACTGTACTGGGGTACAAGGGTAATGTACCCACGGTACGACAAAGTAAGCCACAGATCAGCCCCCAGCACTCCACAGGCACACAACTGATCCATAAACAGACGGGAAAAAAAAAAAAAAAAACTAAATAAAAAGCTGTACTTGTCAAGTGGCAGTGGAGAGTATGCGAAAAAGAAAAGTCGTTTCACTTGAGAAATGGCTGGGGGACACTTGTGGCGTTGAGAGGCGGTAAAACCGAGAGTTTACAGGCTATTATTCTTTGCATACGCTCAATCAATTCGCCGATGAGTATAAATCACGGAAAATTAATCGTAATTTAGGCTCGTCATAATTAGGCTGATTTTATTATAACCAAATATCGATTGAACATCACAGGTCATATCTCAAATAGAATGTATTCTCTAATATTGCAATTGCTCGGCAAAAGAATGGCTGCGTGAGCTCTTACCCAGATGAGTACGTTCAGCGAGCAGAATACGTGCCTAATGCACGTGTATCCAGTGTGACCCATGCCGCACTACCTTGGACAATCAAATAGCGTTGCGATGTTCGCCTCAAACCACTGGCAATTTATCTAATCTGAAGCAGATGAATAATAAATGTTGAAATTGATTGATGTACGAAAAAAAACTCTTGACGCAATGGAGATGCATAGATAGAGTACTGGAAAGCATTTACAAAAATTGGCAAAAATAGTTGGCAACAGGGACTGACGCTTATTGTTTCTTCATTCATTTGAAAAACTGCGATTGCTACTCCAATATAAGAAAAAAAACCATAAATTTTGTTATAAATCAGCCATCAGTGGCTAACCAGCAGCTGATGGATACCGGCCTCTCCATCTACGATGACTTCCAGGTCCCTAACGGGATATATCCAGCGACCAAGTGTTACACGCCAATACCACCTACACTTACAAACAGCTAGACCAATGTACATTGTTATACTTGCAGGCCATTCACTCTCACGACGACATGGAACAGTAGTTGCACGCCGTCATTGAATATCCTTTTATGGATCGATTTCAATTCGCAATAAAATGAGCTCAATGGGATCGGCTGTTATGCTCCGAAGATTCTTTATAATTTAAACGCATTTACGGTTTATGAATTAATCTGAAGGGATAGGGGAAAATATTTCCATTTCCGTTTCAAGAATTTTATCATTTTCATTGTCATTGAGTACCGCCCAAGCTCGTGATCGTTCTTCAAAGTGGCTAGCGGTATTCGAAAAATTGTTAGTTATTTCACGTTTGCAGCCATCACCTCGCCTACCCTGAAAACAACATCCCAGAACAACCATACATCTCTCAAGAGCTTAAAAATTATAGACAAGAAAAAAAGGGCACACGGGGGCGTTTGCATGTGGCCAGTGAACGTATGCTCGCGTATTAGGAGAGTCCCCTCCGACTTCCTGCCAATTGCTGGCAATTTGCAATCATCTATGATCCCCCCACATTGGCTTCGTAAAACCTCGCCTCGCCTTTAAAGCTGTTGAGCCGTTTCATCGAATTCACGCAGACCCAACGCTGAGATTAACACATCCCACTCGGCCATTTATTATTTCGCCGAATTCCCACATGACGCAACCCCTTTCCCACCCTCCACCTGTTTAAATCCCTCTGGCCGGTTCAATTCCACCATAAACAACATTCACATAGTCTCAAACATAGAAACAATGCATTTCAAATTCTAAAAAATATGAATAGAAATAAACAATTACAAAATACGAGATTTACATTTATATTTCCATTTAGGTATGATGAAATCTATCAACTGAAATTCTGACACTCACGTCAGCTACCAGAAATTTATCACTTTTGTGGAATTATGATAAAATCATAATGGTGTAATGGGACATGAATGAAAAAAAAACTAGGAAAACTCCATTGATATGCAAACTCTGTATTGAATGAGTGTCACGATAAGCGTAGAATTGTCCTTGTGGTAATGACGGATGGATTTTATCCCCGATTACGTAAGTTGCTGTCGCCAGAGCGAAACAAAATGCAGGGATTGCAATTTTTTCGTACTTCCCAAGTATCGAATAATATTAATCCAATGGCATTAAAAAAATTTATCAATGTTCATTGATGGGTGGGGAAGATAATTTGAAGATTTATTATTTTCTCAATGATAATCAGTTAAACAAAAAAGGCAGTTTGGTCTATAGAGCACATCCCCTACAACTGTGTTTGATTCGATGACACAATTCTAACGAGGTCTCATTTTATTCAGTAGAGACTGATTCATAAAGCCCTAATATTGAAAGATTGATATTTTTCAGGATAATGGCATGGATGAGACAAGGCTGACAAAATTTGCTCTTATTGTCGTCGACATTCCAAAGATGAGAAGAGGGTGGAAGAAATGAGGGAAATTAATAAATGGCATAAATGAAAATAATTCCTGTTTATGTGATAATTGGTTGGTTGGTTGATCTGAATATTATTTGTTTTGTTAGAGCAATAAATGTCTAATAAGGAGTGGCTGTTGAAACAAGTAAGGCTCATCGCCAGTTTTTAATGTGATTCAAGTATTGTCGAATGATAAAGGAGTTGACTTACCAGTCTTTGAGGTGAGTTTTTCTCGACTCAGAGGTGACAGATGTAAATCATGTGATTAACGTCGAAGCGTATCACCGCGTCGCTAAGAACTGAAAGCCGCGGGCTTGTAATAATCGAACATTCAAGTTTGTGTGGGGGATCGAAGCACCAGCGCCTTCTGCAGGGCTGGTTAAGATATCAACATTTGAATCAAAGAGGATTGACTAAAGTAGAGGCTCAGTTCTGGGGGTTGGAGTGACTCCAGCGGCATCGTAGTACTGCACCCCAGGAGAGAGAGGGCGCCACACGCAATGGGGGTATCTGTCCGTCAGCTGACTCGGTAATTGCCTCAGTAGCAGTCCCGCTGCCAGAGGAACCAGTCAACGGAGTGAATGTTATTTTCTGCGTTACGAAATTGATATTCACTGAAATGTGGGTTCAGTCAGTCAGGCCAATTGAGCAAGCACTAATGGTTGGCCATGAAAAATTCTCCCTCATCCACTGTTCACAATATAAAAAGGAGAAAGTAAATTGATCTGAAAATATCTTCATATCTCAAACATTTTTCAAAACAAACCAGGTTACTTCACACATTTTTTGTGAGAAATAACCCGAGAATATGAGCATTGTAAAAAAATCAAGAGGACCAACTCATTGTTCTTTTAATATAAGGAAACACATTTAGAATGCTTTTTTTTTATCTCCTCCATTTTGAAGGATTGAAGAACATAAACTATGAGAAATCAGGAATAAAAAATTGTAAATAGTCTTTTCAATATATATTTCGTATTCAAAATATAATAATGAACATTACACATGATGCTAGCTCATATTGTGACAGTCAGCGCTGACTGGCACTTTACAGTGGTACCGTGTAATAAATCTAGTCGAACGGCTAGCGTCTGGAAAAGGCAGATATGAGATCGGAAATACAAAAAGCTGCCCAAATCACTCTCGTACGTTTGTCCACTCCTACACGAGCAAAATTCACAAACGTAACTGCCCAATTGGGCTTGAGATTATTTTACTGAGAATTGGGTCGTTGTTTTTTCTTCACTGTCATCCAGGACGTATCCGCTCGTCAAAAGTGTAGACTCGATTATTAATAGGTATTTTCCTTCTGTCACTCTTTTTATTTTCTCGAGTAGCACTTGGTAATTGCCTTTTTGTGAAAATGAGTTCCCCAATTGAGGGAAGGAGGATAGAGGTAAATTTTTCCAGAGACATGTGGGGATTTTAGTTTGACAGGGGTCTCTCCCCCTGACTCGTCCAATATTCACAAATGTAATCCAGAATCAAACTTTACCCAAATTGCCTTATCCTCAATTTTCTCAAAAAAAAAAAAAAAAAACAAAAAAAAAAACACCAATTGTTAATCAAAAAAGTGCTCTGACGAATGTCAGATGCAAAGACAATGAAAATAAAACCAATGAAAGAACAATCGTCAGACGCACCGACATTTTTTGTTGGTTTCAGTTGGTTTCAGTTGGTTTCAGTCTGCAAGTACTAGACGTTAGCTTCAGCATTCTTTCACATAACTTATGCATATAATTATTATAATACATAGTCATTTAGTATATAATTAGATCGAAAGTAATTTTTCTTACGTAGGCAAGCAAGAAGCCCACTTACAAAATGTTTTATTACTCATTATTTTTTCGTTACTTCAACATCTCGATTTTCAATCGTATTTTTATAAGCCCCAAAACCCTTAAGAATAATTAATTCAATAATTTTCGTTTCATTTTTTTTCGTACTTTTTTTTGTTTTGTTTTTTTTTTCGTTTTTCGTTTTTTTTTTATGTTTACTATACAAATGGCAAGAAAAACAACACTCAAACTGCCTTAGCTACTAATATTTATAATAGTTAGGTAATCATCACAGTGATAAACGAAAAATATATATATTCTTGTACACTTGATCAGTTTAATAATCAGTTGATCACTTTATTCATTCATTATTAATTTAAAAACATGGTTTTATTCAATTTAAAGCGTCCGTGGCACTTAACACACACTTACATATTGGATTTTTGTCGTTAAATTTTTTTAAATTATTCAATCTCGTTTCAACTGGAGCATTATTTTTCTGACCCCGAGTTTATGCCTCCACTAGGCCTACTAATTTTCTTAACGATCGTTTTGAATCTGTCATTATTTCTTTATTTAGTGTCTTTCTCGATATTAAAATTTTCCTTAGATGGGGGCTTGTCGCCCGGTATTCGGTAATTATTTACAATATATATCTTCCAGAAGCCCTCAGTGATATGGAAATATATAGATCCCCCTAGCTGCTTCATTTTAAAAAATTGCCAAATCAACGAATCACAATGAAATCAAATCTGTCAATAAAATCGACTAAAAAACACCTATAATGTTTTTCCATTCTCGAATACCGAATTACAAGCCGTTGATAAAGAATATCTAGTTAGATACAGTGAAAAAAAAAAGGGTATCGAGAGATTGAGAGGAGTGAATATTGATTTTTAAAAATTTCCATTTGGCTATGATTTGTGCTTAGGCGTGTTGAATACCATAGAGTTGATGCCATATCTGTCCTATGAACCAAATAAATAGGCCTCATTCATTAGGTATTTGTAAAATAAACAATTCGATGATGCTGAAGATAACTTCCCCTAGATATCTGTATCATAGAATCAATAATCAATTGTATTACTTTCCACTCGGCGATACGAATGTGGTCAGTATAATTTTTTCCTCCACCGTAAGTACAGTTGACATTGCGTCAAATGTTGCTCTTGTCCATTATTAAACTATTTAAGAAATTTCACATTTACTTCATCATTGGCCTGCCCTTAAAAAATCTTAAATCCAGTTAAGAATTATACGTCGGATTTTCTTTTAAAAAAAAAAAATCCCCATTTTTCATCTTCATTCATATAATAATATCAATAAACCGTAAACCTCTTTTCAATATATACTTCCTTAAAAACAGTCTTTATACATTATTTAAATCATTTATATACAGATGTGCAACTAGCTAAGTGGATAAAAATGGTTGTTTCTTTATCGCTTAATTATCTGTATCGTCCTCCCTGTTCTAATTTATTTTATTTTCGTCGTATCCTTCGATCGGTAACGACGCTCAGTCAGTTGGATCACAAGTTAATCGAACGTATTACATTCGACACTTTTTCTTCTTTCTTTTTCGTAATTTTCCCCAACATGCGAACGTCGATCACTTATACCCTGATCGTATTTACACTTTCCCATCCCGTTCATTATTTTCCATCATATCTAATATTTAAAAACTGGTCTGGAGGCTTCGATCAAACGATGAATTTCATTCGTCCCATTAATTTAGATATATCAGGCAAATTGAGCCCAGTGAGTTATCTACCATCGTATTCAATACAAATTGATGGTTTTTGTTAACTGGACAACGTGAATAGACAAGAGGTATTGACATTCTCATGTCACGAACAACTGTACGAGGTTTCGTTTGGTAATTGCGAATCCATCGATATCTCGTTTCCCAATTGAGACGTCCATCTAGATTAGTCCAGACATGTTAGACAACAGCTTTGACAGATTTAATGTTACTCATTGCTATTTGGAGATATTAAATTGTTCTTCAGACGATACAATCCACTGGAATTTTCCTCAACAATTCCACAATCGGTTTGAATATAAATAACAAACAGTACGATAAGATTTTCCCAGTCCCTACCCCACCCCTTCTGTAAACGTACAAAATTAAAAGCTAAATAATTTCACCGCCGGAGGGATTGTTCTCAACAATTCTCGCTGACTAATTTATAAAAAATCATTCAAATAATATAACCATTATGTACACATTGAAAAGACCATTGACGGAATTGTTCAGGCTAAATTCACACTTTTCGATCACTGTCACTATTGTCCTCCCACATTACCATTACCATTCCCATTCCTCAACGTCTTGAATCGAGAAGGACTAGAAGATGACTAATGTGAGAGGCAAGTACTTCTTCCTTAAGCCTACATCAACGTATACAATTTCCCTTCCATTATTCTCGCACTCAGCACCTCACTTCTGTTCATTACTTGGAAGAAAAAAAAAAAAAAGACAAAAAGAAAATAAAACAAAAATGAAAACAAAAACATTGAAAAGCACCCATACACGACCTGTACAGCTCGACCTGTTCCGCTCAGTTGGTTCAATTGATCCTTCGTGAATAAATGCATTTCAGCTGAGTTTGTGTTTTATTCCTTTTGTATCTAAATCCGAATTTAATTCTGACGAGCTCAAACACATCATCTTGACAGTAATTTACACAGGATGGCAGCACCAGCAGAGAGAACAAGGGAAACTCTCGATAGAGATGAAGAAGACGCTGCACTGGCTCTCGTCATATCCTTGCAGATGCCTACGAGTTAAAAAAAAAAGCGTAAATCAATAAATAGGGTAAAATCAATAAAATTACGAAAGAAATGGAGTCCAATGGAAAGCCAGTGATTACGTACCTTGACTGGCGAGCCTGTAGGTCCATTGATCGTTGGGTCCCGTTTGAAACTCCCGCGCTGGTCTTGACAACCATAATTCTTGTTGCTGGTGTTCCAGCCTCGATGCTCTACCACCAAGTGATTTAGATGGTGGATCTTCCCATCTCATAGTGAAGCAGAATGTCTTAACAACGCCAGGCTCAATCTCCGGTTGTGACACTATCATGTAATGTGTGCCTTTCTTATCCTGCCAGCTGTCGTGGCACGTGTACACTGTCCCAACACCAACGAAAAACGACAGATTAATCAAGTGTCGTCACGACACCACCCAATGAACCATTTTATTTGAAACTCAGATTGAGATGGAGAATGAATGGAGTACAAAATCAGTTGAAATTGTTTTTCCCCCCGAACTTACCAAGTTCGTCACGTTCACACGTATTGGCAATAATCATTTCACTCTGATCGGATGAACCACATCCAATCTGTAGTGAAGATACGTTGCACTCCTCGTCCTCGCTGTCCTCTTGCCAAGTCAATTTCTGGGCTGGTCGCATACCTTGCGTACCTCTTCGCTGACGCCTGGGCGTGGTAGAGAGAACACCAGACGTCGAGTAATCAATGACTGTGTATCTCCCTGGTTGAGGGCATTTTCGTTTCTCCATTGTTGAGGCTGCAAAAAAAAAATCACTTTATTCACATGTATATGTCTCTCTATGTAATAAATCCCATTTAAGTCATTTAAACATCTTCAATAAGCAGAAAATTGATATCACTGCGCGCATATACCATTTAGGAAATTAGCTGTTGGTATGCCATAAAAAAAAATAAAAATAAAAAAACACTCGAAAATCGACCATTGAAACCATTAGTTCCACCATTTTGAATGGTGAAATATACATGAAATGGGGAAACGACAATCAGACGAATGGAAACCGTCCATCGTGATATGCAAAGCAACACCAACGATTCCCTGGAGGCATTTATCTTCGTCCAGGCGATACAATCGCCACCGAGCCATTATTGCCCTGCCAGTAATTTATTTTCTCCAGTCATGCGTAAATCAGGAATTATTGAAAGTATAAAAAAAAAAAAGTAGGAGTGAAGACAATTGGAAGAGGATTCGAGGATATGAAATGTTTGAAATTTCAATTGCTGCTGTGGTACTCACATATGAGCGTTGTAAACGGCATGTCTGACAAATCCTCCTGGCAGGCCTCCTCGGGGACGATGGTTTTTCGATCTGGACAATGGTACAATAAATTGATCAGAAATATTCATTAACGTCGATATCAATTATTCTTCTGTTCAGGGGAGGCGATGAAAATTGATGGAGAAGTGTGTTTTATCAGTGCTCCAATAATTTCTGATCCCTCCACATTGAATCAAGGGAATCGTGATGGGACAATTGAATGAGTTTAAAAAAGGAGTGAACAGAGCAAAATTGATATTCAACTCACCTGATTGCTGGAGCTCGATAACGTTTCCGGCTCTTCTATGGAAGATCATGCAAACGTAGCCAATATCGCTGCAATAAGAGAAGGCCATGAAGCATAGGGGGAAAAAATGGGGCCATGGGTTTATGAAAGAACGTCATGTCGCGTCAAAGGAAATATTTTAAAAGGCGACTCGACGATTCGTCAAAAGAGTGGAATAAGAGGCAAGGAAAAGGGAAAAACGTCTCGTTTTATCCGTAACAATAAAACGCTAAGAAATTCAATGAGACGGTGATGAATTCTGGAAAATTCACCGGGTAAAATTAGAAAATTACAATGTTCATGTAATGAATGATTCCTTTCAATTTAACTCCGTGAAAGAACATCAAAATATAATGGGGAATATGAATGGGGGAAAAAGTTGGGGGCTTTAAAAACAAAGAATTTGTTCCAGGTAACTTTGAAGAGGTAAAAAAAAAATTTGGTTAATTAGTTTGAAAACTTACCATCCTTTGGTAATATGCGCAACAAGTTTAACTTTATTCCTTCCATCATCGTCACCACTCTCTAAATTATGGCAGACTATTCTCTCCACGTGTGAGTGATCATCTTTAACGCGAAGGGTAGCATTACCAGTTGTGAAGTGGTAATTGCGAGAGTGATCGAGAGTACGCCATTGGTGACGTACCGTCACCCAGGCGGGGTACTTGCATCTGTTGTGCTCACGATCAACTGTCATTAAATTTCAAACGTCAGTCTATTGTCCTTATTTGTTTTTTTTTTCATAATTTTTATTCAATAATATTATTAGATAATCAGATATAATATAATACCTTTTGTCAGTTTGATAGTGCGTGATCCTTCGGCAACAGAATTCAGAGCACTGCACGTCGAATCGCCGGACTGGGCGAGGACGTATGTTACATCGCGGTGATGGGTATTCTTTTCGTATAAGAAGCATCTACAATAATTTAATCATGTAATCACTCTCATTCTTTCGACGGTACTTTCTAGTCAATATTTTTAGCATTATTAACTCTTGGCAGATTTTTTGTTGGGTGACAGTATTAATGATCTCCATTATGAACCAAAAAGTTAAATGAATATTCCAGACATCAATTAATCCCTTGAAAAATCATTGAGCATCTATATCAATTCGGCTAATTGAGCCAATTAGAATAATTGCGTACGACAGGAATTCTCTCACAGGGGTGCCAGTTAAATTCTTTTCACTCGCCGTGATTGAGGATTCACTTGACAACAATGCCATCCCATAATTGACCAATACACGTATCACCGAGCAGCACTAATGATTGATAGTCATTTTATTTTACAAAATGTACATAAACTTCAGAGGCATTATTAGAAAAAAAATATATAAATAAAAAATACACTCGTACGTGATAAATTAAGCAAAGCCTATTGCTGTAATTACCTGAACGTTTCCTCGTTGGTTACCGCGTTCCTTCCAAATAGCTTGAGTGTACCAACCAAATACCTATTCCTCCCGTCCTTCCAGGTTGCCAGGCACTGCAGCTCTTCAGCTATAAGATAAGCAAATTCCCCCCATTCTTATATATTAAAACTCCGAAATGATTAATTTATTTCTCTGATTTTCTAAACTTTATACATTTTTTTTTCTTTCTTTTTTTTTCCTGAAAATTTGATTTGTGCGATTTCAGCGGATAAAGCATTCCCGTTCGGGATTGCGGTCAGCGGATAAAATTAATTTACCCAATTTTGGCAATTAAACGTTGGTGGAATGATGTCAACGGGATTCGGAGGAGGTGTGATGGGTCACTGGCGGCGGGTCACAGAGATTATTTATAATCAAACTCGGAGAGAGAAAAGAATATATTCCACTGGGAGTTGATGGCCCATGGAAGAATGACAATTGAATCAACTTGATAATCCATTTAGTTGACTTCAATCCACTGTTACCGGCTGGTGTGTTTTATTATTCTACGATCTAACAGAAGCCCCACTAGCTTTTTTTTTTTTTTTTCGAGCGACAGCAAGTGTCATTGGCTGTTTATTTGCTTCGAGCCCCCAAATTGAAACAATCCTGTGCCCTTTATCAATCCCAACTTTCATTTAATTTCCAGGGGAAAACGCGCTAGACCATCTCTTTCATTTTTCTTCTCTGCTTAATAATGATTAGTTAGTGTTGTTTTCATTTTGATGCAGTCATGCATTAGGGAATGCTTCGGATGCATTAATTCTGGAATAATGGAAAAAATAGAGAAGAAAAAGTGGAAAAGACCGTAAGAGGTTAATAACTCTGGTAAAGGGGAAAACAAATCATAATGCGGTTAAATAATCTTCTCGTTTATGTAAAAATCCAACGGTTAATTCAACGGGGAAGGTGTAAAGGCCAGGTATTTCTTAGTATGGTATTTTATGGTTGAAAAAATGAAGCCTAAGCTGGCGTGAAACCTCGGCCTTCCAGTCTACCTCTCTCTTACTCAAACTGCACTGGCATTCTGTCGACGCAACACCATCTCACCCTCTTTTCCCTCACATTTCCACACTCTTCTCACTGGGTTTCTCGTAAATTTCAATAAATACCCCCTCCCCTTCAACCGCCCACTACCGTCCGCAATTTAATTTCGAATAATTGAGTTGAGCATTAATATATCAGCTCGTAATAAGCTAGCGATTTGTATAATGAACGTAATTACGCAACGTAAATATTCTTTTTTGGTTTTCGCTTTCATACGTATGCATTTATCATTCAACTAAATTTTTTTTCGACCCCTGGGCAGATTCCATCAATGTCAGCCCATCGCACAGTCACCCAATAGGACTAACTCAGTAAATCACTAAAGTCACACACAAGTCACAGAAAAACAAGTACAGAAAATGAGAGGAAGAAAAAAATCAGTAATAATGGTTTCTCTCTTGTTTGGCCCATTTTTAACTCACGAACACAAAATTATACACCCCTAGACGTCTGACTCTTTTATTTTTAATCGAGTTCGAGCAATCGCTGAAAATGTGGAATATCGGCCAAGTGATAAATGCTAGTCAATCATATAAACTCGGGAATTTTGCATATTCCATTCAATTAAATACAACGTATTTTAAACAGAGTGCCATCTCAATTTTTCCTCATGAATTTTACTTCGATTCCCTCATCCGTTCCCTTAAGGAATCAATTCTTCTAGAAATAATTAATGCCACTGCGAGGAAAAAAAATTAATTGGGTCTAGACCAAAATGGCGATTGAATGGTGATGATTGGGAAACAAAAATAATGTGATTAAATAATGAGATATTGGAAAAAGCATGAGCGAATGAAACAGGTCTATTATGAATTCTTACTGTTGGACTCCGATCCAGGAACGTCGGGGCATGCCTGGTACTTTAGTAATAATTTGCTTTCCTCCGTGCAGCCCTCAGCGTGACTGATAGGTTGTGCACACTCTCCGGTGCCACGATTATAAGTAAATGTGAATGGTGGTCCCTGAAATGGACAAGGTATGGGAGTTGGATTCAGCCGGAACATGGTAAAGAGACTGTCGTCTGTTGTCGTCGCCTGGCACATCTCCTCAAGCTTCATGGGGGATCTGTGTCCATATCCAACTGAAATTAACAATAAAATACCTTATCAGAAAATATTTTATTTTGACAATCTCAAATTTTCAGATTGAATTAATCTTTAAAGAGAATTTGAGATTTTCGTATTTAGTCAATGTTTCCCAAATAAATCATTATATTATCATTATATACACCTGTGCATCTTCAAAATGCTAAATAATTCGAAAGCTTGTTCGTCAATGACCCTTGAGAGCTCGTCGCATAATCTGCAGCCAAATTCACCGTTTCAGTCTCAAATATTCAAAGACTTTGGAATAGGCTAGTGCAGATTCACTATTTTTGATTATCAAAGAATCAAACGATTCTCCTCATTCAACCTTTCAATAAGTAACAGTCCACGCTATCCCCCCGTCTACCCTAAGAAAACTTCTCTTTCTGAATACGAAAATCGGAGAAGATGGGGAATGTCGTTGGTTTAGAAAACGTCAGAAGTAAAGTCCCAGTGGTTAAATTGAATTAAAATGGGGAAAGGGAAAAGTTTCTTGGGTGGGGGAAAAGTGTAGATTTTGCATAGTTGGATGCATTCACAGTGGCAGAGGTTCCTCAGTGGAAGGATGAGGTAAAAGGCATGGAGGGAGGATTTTGGTAGGTACTATCTGCTTTGATAATTTATGCATTTTCCAGGGATAATCCCTGTGTATGAAAGATGGTAGCCGCCGGCTTCCCCGGATGCTTCCGTGGGTGGAGGGAGTGGCCTCTGCCCTCCTCCACGAGGCTCACGCTAACGAGACATTAGCGGAACAAAGAAGCAACCCTCTTTCACTCTTCGTCTTTATTCTTTACTTTCTGGGCTCTCTTCATTGGCCCTCATCATTTCGCGCGCGATCATGAAAGCAACGACTAGTCAAGTATCTACGGGCTTAGCTCCGCCATGGCGCATAACGGGAAATGAGCAGAGGAACGCCGGAGAACGGCTTCGAAACATTTCGAGGGCTTTTACGCAATTTTATCTCTTTCGGTTTTTTTCCTCCCCGGGGATTTTCCGTTATCAGACCGCCTGAGCGACAAGAATTTTATCTTCACTATCAATCTATTGAATTTTCGTTATTTGGTATTATTTAGTTGAAAAAGTGATGGTATCATTTTAATTGAGATACGACAACTCCCAGCTATTTTGAGAATCGTCATGGTTCTTTTGACTTGTCTGTTTTGAATTTCAGACTAGGATGTTTTCAATATTGTCGGGTGGTCCAGAATGAGATAATTTAACGTGTTTGACATGAAGTTTAAAAATGTCGAGACGATACCACACATTCTCGCTCGTATACTCGTGACACTCGGCGAATTATCACTGGCAACATGTTGGTGGATGTTTGTGGGTTAGTTGCCTCCTCGTCACTTAAACTGTCACTCGCAATCGTCGGAATGATCTTCAACGCGGGGAGAGACAGTCTGTTAACAGTGTCTTTCGATTAGAAATTATTTTGGTGGTCTTAATATGATTAAATCACCGTTGGTAACACCAATGGAATAATCCAACGAGTGTGTGTGTAAAGTTAAGATGTCGATGTGTCAAAAAAAGGAAAGACTATAATTATTTTATTAAATAATCATTGATACAATTAATTCTCACGACTGTTGGAAACAATTATTATAAAACCATTAATAACAGAGAGAGTTTACCATCTGTATCGGTGATACAGCAGTCAAAAGCCTTGGATAGCAAATAATTCAATAGTTCACCACAAACCCCGTGATTTGATGGAATAAATGTTTTTTCTTTAATTATATATGCATACTATATATTATAATAGGACCGCGTAAAGGAAATAGGAATGACGACAGTATATACAACGGCTATTGTTTCTGTTTGAAGCAAGGACTATGATTACCCGACGACCGCCGGTGGCTCCATTCGCAGCCCTTTGAGATGCAAATGCTAATTGAAATGTAAAAGTTAGCGACCTATATCGGCTACCTTCGCCTGGCGCGAGAACTCCAGTTCCGCTTTCATTCTTTCCTTTTTCTCCTTCTCCCCTCCTCTGGAACCCCCTACGCCGATCTACCCTCTACCCTCAGCGTCCAAGAAAAATCGCCTCATTTTTTTCATTTTTTTTTTCTTTACGTCCACTATCTTTCCCCCTGGGCACTCTTGCCTGTCCGTCTTCCTTTCTTTTCACTTTTTTTTCTACATTTTTTTACCTTTGCTTTTTTTTCATCAAAGCTATCCCTCGGAATTCCCAACGCCTCCTCGTTACTTCCACCAAGCCGAAGCTTTTAGAAAAATCTGAAGAATCAACGATGAGGTATTTTACGATGGAAACTATTTATTGCAAAGTTTATGTGAAATTTTCACGGATAAAAGAATGTGGTCTGTAGAGTGGTAATCGATTTTTGCATAGGGGTATTGGTTATCGGTTTATATCATGCATCAGTGCAAATTAAGTAGATATTTTTCATTGACCGAATATCCAATGAAAATTATTGTTCATTGAATTCATCTTTTAAACAAAATATTGCCAGATAATTTATTTACAAGTTCGACAATTAATATGAGTGCAAAAAAAAATATATATATATATATATATATATACCATCCACAAAAGGGATTAAAAAGACTTGAGGTACTTTTTGAATAACAGACATGATTTTCAAATCAAATGCAATACAATAAATTCCATTCATTGAATTCGATCAGTTACGATTATCGAGGAAGTTCAATTGAGAAACAAAAAGCTATGATGAACCAGAGAAGGAATTGAGGATAGAGCGGAATGGGTCTAATCACCGCAGCCTCTTTTCGATTAATTTGACTCTCATTCGTTCCTTGCAAATTCCATTTTAGAGAGATTTTCCACCTCTTCGCACTGAAAACCGTTACCTGAAAATTAAAAGTTCAATAGAGAGATGAAACTTCTCTTTCTATTCAATTATTTCTCATAAAATTTTGCTACTTTTTTCCTGAGATAATTGACGGGGATGGGACCAAGTTGAATTGTGGAAGTGGATTCTATATAAACTCGAAAATTACGAGCAATTAATAAAAAATATAGGGTGGATCGTCGGCCTAAAATACGAATTAAAAAAATTACTCCCCACAGAATTCGAGTAATATTCAAATTAGAACACCCACGGAATTTACTCCGTTCATAAAACGGATAATTTCACATCATAAAGCGATCGTAAAGATGATTTCAAACATTTTTCATAGAGGCATTTTATTGGAGAAAGAGAACAGCCACTTATGTGGAATAAAAATGTTACATCGTTGGCGGGTTAGACTTAGAGGAGTGGTACGATGTTTGAGTGATCGTAAATAATCGGTGAAAAATAGTTTTACTGCAGAAAGTATCATAAATCGTGGGATTCCGCGTCGCCTTTACTTTTTACCCAGAGAGTTTGAGTTTTTGTTGCCGAGTAGATTGACCGGTCCAGCTATTTAAAAAAATGATCAGTTGAGAAAAAAAAGAGCGGAATGGGTTAGGATTAAAAATGTCAAATTGACAAGGGTAGTTTTAGGATCTCTTGAAAATATTCAAAACTATCTATTCGTGCACTTGTCTTGTGATTAAATACAAGATTTGGAGTGACTTATCACATGTACGACAAAAAGAGATGAATAAAATGTTGAATCATTTGACTGAGGATCAATGTTACTTCTCGATTCTACTCTCGTCAAGTATTTCCGGTAGCGGTTGATACGTTATCACGAGGGCGCGTTAAAAGCGTTTAGTGACTTTCGTGACTCGGTCCACTTTAACGAACCGCCAAGGCGGCCGCCGCCTATAACTACCGGAATTTTTTATTTTACGGTTTCCATCGCACCGAGCCACGTCCGTTCGTGAGACTACCTTCAAACTGCCCTTATCCCTCCTTATGGTTCTTCCCTCTGATCCCCAAACCTCCGTAAACCCGATTCTAATGCTGAAGGGTATTAAAAAGAAAAAACCCCCACAAAAGATTTTAGTTAAGCCGATGAGGAAGTTTAAGTGGCAGTTAACGTATGAGCTTGTTACATTCATTTAATAATACACTTCAAAAATGCCAAAAGAATTCTCTAAAATTCTAGTCCAAGTAATAAATAATTGTGAATAAGTGCCAATGCATCATACACCAATATAATTGAAAAAAAATGTGCTTATCATTTATTTTAAGATATTTAGATGGAATGCAAGTTGAAAAGATGAAAAATTTAATTAAGATGATGTTGCCAACTCGTATTCCTCATAAATCTGTCAATTTACTAAACACCAATATGGAATCAGCTGCATTTATATCCCAATCCAATGCCCATATAGTTTTGGAGGAGGGTTGATGTTTCCTAGTAGCGTTTTAGAGATTAAACTCACGGACTAATTGGGCGCGACATAATCCCGCATGACGTTGAGGATAGAAAGGGAGTAAAGTTGCCGGGAGATGAGAGACGATCGAGTCAATTCACCCTGTAGATTATCGTCATTGCACCAGTGGTTTTCCTTGGTGACACGTTCGTGTTCTCACTTGATCCACCCTCTGCCATGGCTAATATGAGAAGGGCTCTAAAATATCGGTCAACGCCCGGAATTCAGGGTGTCCCCTCACCGATCTCTCATCGATGTTGTTTGAAACCTCCAAACATTCGATCACTATTTCCGAACTAATCCCACCCGTCCAATCTCCCCCATGACCTCTTCATCTCGCGCACGTACACACTCACGTCACCAATCGATCGTCATTGGATACTCGCTCATGTAATTCGCCTGGGCTACTGCATATGAATTACAGGATTACAATTTCGTTTACTTCGTATTCATGAATACATCGCCAGTACGGAAAATACAACTGCAATGAGAATAATACCAATGTAAAAGCTTTGGGGCTGGGGCTGGGGCTGGGGCCGGAGTCGGGGCCGAGGCCGGGGAAGAGGATTTATTTATGCCAATGGTGAGTTACATAAATCGTCGAATTAAACAAACCACATTATGCTATTGTCCAGGCGCTTGTTTTAGGCAAATATGAACATTCATATTCGATATTTGCCGATGTGAAACAATCAGAAATTTGTT